TCCCGATAGAACAATTAATCAGTGGAACAATTTGCCTCCAGAAGTTGTGGATGCTCCAACACTGGAGGTTTTTAAGAAGAGATTGGACAAATACCTGGGCTGGGTGAAAAAGACTATTATCCAGCCCAAAAAGGAACAAAAAAGGCAGATGAACGGTTGCAGAAACAGGGCGTGGCTAGTCTAGCAAAGAGAAGGACCAGGGGAAACATGATAGCAGTCTTCCAATATTTGAGGGGCTGACACAAAGAGGAGGGGGAGTCAAACTATTTTCCAAGGCACCTGAAAGCCAGACAGGGAATAATGGATGGAAACTTGAACAAGGAGAGATTCAACCCAGAAATAAGGAGAAATTTTCTGACAGTGAGAGCAATCAACCAATGGAACAGAAGCTGCCTTCAGAAGTTGTAGGCGCTTCATCACTGGAAGCTTTCAAGAAGAGACTGGACTGCTATCTGTCAGAAATGGTGTAGGGTCTGCTTGGGTAGGGGGTTGGACTAGATGACTAGGTCCCTTCCAACTCTGTTAATCTGTATCTGTCCTAAGAACCTCTCCACCATCAATCAGCACCCAGATCAGCATAGATTAACTCCAAGGTTAGCATCAGACCAAGAATCAAGTAAACAAGACCCCCATCAAGAAACTGCCGAACAGCCAACAATAAACAGCCCAACTAACACTGACAGGCAAGAGACCAGAATATAAACTGACAGCAAACTACACTCCTCACTAACACTGATGATGTTACCTAGTTTTAGGTAATGAAACATCTGCAAGAAAACAAGCACCCAGGACCTCTCATGTAAACCCTGAGATACAAATATTCTCCTTTATTACTAGGACAAATATCTGTCTGAAATGATACAAGGCTTGCTGCTTGAGCAGGGGGTTGGACTAGAAGACCCCCAGGGTCCCTTCCAACTCAGTTATTCTGACTCCCCAGGATACAAAGGGGCTTCTCCTTGTCTCCTTTCCACCTGGAGAAGCTGGGGACCAAACCTAAGATCTTGAGGGTGACATAAATTAAGCCACCATCATTATTATCCAACCAGAGGACACGTCTATCTTAACTACTAACAAAGTCAGATGGGTTTTTTTCCACATATTGTGATATATATGGCATTGGGAGGGTTAAATTCAGCAGGATGGCAAAAAGAGTATCACAGTGCAAGCTCTGCCCCCTTTTAAATGATGCATGGACATCAGGGGTGGGATTTGACACTCCACTCACCCCTTTGCTGTTTCTGACCACCAATGCTCCCTCCAACACCTGCAGCTGGTGAACAACCTCACTAAGGCTTGAAATGTTGGTTTGCTTCATGCTACAGAATACAGAATAGAGTTGGAAGGCAGCTTAGAGATCTTCTAGTCCAGGGGTCGCCAATCTTTTGGACCTCAGGGACCACCAAGCTCATAATTAAATCCCGTGGACCAGAGACCCTGGGGAAAACCCCAAAAAAGTCTGCAGGAAAATTCCCCACCCCGTTTTCCTACTCATCAATCATTCTTTATTTGGGATCACAGGATACCATCTCCAGCTCCGTTCTTAAGGGGAGAGAGAGAGAGAGAGAGAGAGAGAGACTTTGGGCTTCATGCAAGGAAAGCGGGAGAAGCAGCAGAAGTCTTTCTTTCTCTCCCCCAAACTCCGCCAGAAATGAGTCTTTGTGAGACTTGTTGCGCCGGTGCAGCATCTTGGAGCAGGGTGCCTTGCAACATACACCTGAGGGAGATACACCTGGTGGGACCCAGAAGAAGGGCCTTCTCTGTGGTGGCTCCATCTCTCTAGAACATCATCCCCCCAGAGATTAGAATGGCCCCCTCACTAATACTCTTCCGAAAGGCACTGAAGACCTGGTTTTGCCAGCGGGCCTGGCAAAACCCATCAAATGGCTAGTGTGATCTGCTGTCATCGGGTCGAGGGTGGGAGTTGTTTTTTTCTTTTCTTTTGTTTTGTTTTCCCAAATTTTGTTCTATTGTACTTTACTAATTTATTTGATTCTTTTAGTTAGTTTTTATTGTTTTTATTTTTATTTTTTGTTTTAAATGTGATTTTACATTGTGTAAGCCGCCTCGAGTCGCCATGGACGAATAGGCGGCAATATAAATCAAATAAATAAATAAATAAGATCCCAAAGACTCATTTCTGGCGGAGTCTGGGGGAGAGAAAGAAAGACTTTTGCTGCTTTCCTTGCCTGCAGCCAACAGCAGAAGAAGAAAGAAGTAGAAAGAAGCAGCCCGGTGGCCAGGTGAGGTGTGTGGAGCAAGTTCCCCTCCTCCGCCCTTTCCCTCTCCCCTCACTACCTCGTGTTGTTTGCAACGCAAGAGTCGCAAACCTTGTGTTCCCGTGGGCCATGTGGATGGCGCAGCCTTGTGTTCCCACACAGTTTGGATTAATTGCTTTGGGGGTGTGTGCTTTGGGGATGACATTTCTCTGAGGACCACCAAAATTTTATCGCAGACTTCCAGTGGTCCCTGGCCCACTGGTTGGCAACCACTGTTCTAGTCCAACCCCGTTATGTCTATAAAGAAGGCAGAAAAGTTCTTGATGAAAGCAAACGCAGAAGTCCTAATTTCTATAGGCTCTACGCTGAAATGTGACCGAGTACCCTTTCTTTTATATGGATTTGCAAATTCTAAAGTAAACGCCAGTTTTTATTTAGAAGGCTTTAATGAACTCTGCCAGAGCCCACTGTAACTACATAGCCAAAAAGACATTAAGAGTTGTTAACTTAATCTTACGTAGCTTTTTCTCTGGTAATATTACACTAATAACTAGAGCATACAAAACATTTGCTAGACCAAGACTCGAATACAGCTCATCAGTCTGGAACCCACATTACGTATCTGATATTAACACAGTTGAGAAAGTCCAGAAATATTTCACAAGAAGAGTTCTCCACTCCTCTATTTGTTGCAGAATACCTCATGCCACCAGACTTGAAATTCTAGACCTAGAAAACCTAGAACTATGCCGCCTTCGGTCCGATCTAGGTATAGTATATAAAACCATACATTGCAATGTCCTACCTGCAAATGAATACTTCAGCTTCAGCCATAACAACACAAGAGCACACAATAGATACAAGCTAAAGGTTAACCGCACCAAACTTGATTGCAGGAAATACGACTTCAGCAAGAGAGTGGTCAATGTCTGGAATACTCTACCTGACTCTGTGGTTTCTTCCCCAAACCTCCAAAACTTTAACCTTAGACTTTCTACTATTTACCTCACCTACTTCCTAAGAGGTCTTTAGGGGGCGTGCATAAGCACACCAACGTGCCTACCGTCCCTGTCCTATTGTTTCTTTTATTTTTTATTTTTCTTATATGTATCCATGTATTCATAACTATGTTTTTACTTATACTTATTATCTTGTAAGCAATTGACAAATAAATAAATAAAAATAAACAGAATTTTTGTTGCTAAGCAAGGTGGTTGTTATGTGAGCCCTGTCTGATTTTACAACCTTTTTGCCCCGGTTGTTAAGCAAATCGTTGCAATGAAGTGAGGCCTATGATCGTTAGGCGAATCTGGTTTCCCCCCATTGACTTTGCTTGTCAGAACCTGGGAAGGCCACCAATGGTTGTAAGTCAAGGACTACCTGTAGAACAGGGGTCTCCAACCTTGGCAGCTTTAAGACTTGTGGACTTCAACTCCGAGAATTCTCCAGCCATCTATGCGATGCCAAGGTTGGAGGCCCCTGCTGTAGAAGGTCATCAACTGAATAGGAAGCAAAGGGCCACAATTGTATTTCATACTCAGTACGTAAGAGACACAACCACTAAACATGACAGTTCTTTAGGTAACAGTCATGGCTTAATTGCTGTTGTCTTTCTTGCTGGCTTAGACGACTGAATCCATCTGCTGCTTCTAAACAATGATCAATCAAATGGAGACCTCAAAGGGGGCCGCAAAAACATCTTGTCTGGATATGCTTCTTCTTAGCTTCTTATTCAGCAGCAGACAACCTCTCCACCAAGAGACCCCATTACCAATTGTCATGCCTAATAAGGACAGGAGGATCACTAGACTTAGATTTGATTCATGAATCGTGCAACCAAACTTCTTCCTTTTCACAATGTCAACCACGTTTCTTCTGGGCCTCACATAACATTACCGAGCTGCCCTGGTGTACAGGCAGTCCTTGAATTGCCACCTTTCATTTAATGACTGTTCAAAGTTACAGCAGCTCTGAACAATGTAACTTATGACTGCTTTTCCCACTTATGACCGAACATAAATTTTGGGCTCAGTTGTGGTTGTAAGTTGAGGACTGCCCGTATTCATAGTGCCCTGTCCTCTGAACCCCTAAGTTCCTTTCCATGTCCGTCAAGTGCCAGGGAAATTGGGAGATTGGAGCAGTTCAAATGAGTATAAAGATTTATGGGAAGCTTACGCTGTCTACAAGAATTGGAGCTACAGGCAGTCCTCAATTTACCACCACAATTGAGCCCAAAATTTATGTTGCTAAGTGAGACATTTGTTAAGTGAGTTCTACCACTTTTTTTGCCACATTTGTTGAATGATTCTCTGCAGTTGTTAAATTAGTAGCATGCTTGTTAAGTGAATCTGGCTTCCCCATTGACTTTGCCAGTCAGATGATCGCAAAAGGGGAGCACGTGACCCCAGGATACTGCAACCGTCATAATTATGAACCGATGGTCAAGCATCCAAATGATCATGGTGATGCTACAGAAGTCATAAGTATGAAAAATGGTCATAAGTCACTTGATTTCAGTGCCGTGGCAACTTCGAACGGTCACTAAGTGAATTGTTGTAAGTCGAGAACTACCTGTGTTAACAGTCAAGGCAAATGAGCAGGAATTAAGAAGGTATTCAAAGTGGGCTGGAGTTAGATCTCTTGTGGGCGCGCAGTGACTCATGACTAATGACACGTTTGACCCCTCCATCAGTCTCCTACAATATCACAGCTAAGGACTATTGAGAAAAATTCCCCCCTGAATGGTCCCAATCCTAGGTGACAACCAGCTTGGAAGCCTACCTCTCTCACGGACAAAATATGCCAGGTAGAGGTCAAGCTCCTTGACCGAGACACTGATGTGGTGTGGCTGGACACAGAGGACAGGGTTGGTACACTGTGCGGCCTTGACAAGGCGTTCCCCATCGGTGCTCTCCAGGGGGATTCCTTTGAAGAGGATCACCATGACGAGGTCGAGGCGCCAGACTTTGTCAGCCTGGCGGAGACAGTCGATGCGGCGCATTTTGCCCTTCTGATCAGGGTTGGACAGGACGCAGCACGAGGGCTTCTTCCCCGTGATGGAGAGCACAAAGTCCTCCCGGTACTCAGGGCGGATGTCCTTGCGCAGCTTGGCCAGCAAGCGCGAAGCCCACTTCTGTTTCACTTCCGGCTTCTCGTTGAGCAGCTCATCTTTGACAGCCCGCTCCTCATCTTTCGTCATCCGTTTCTCGTGTTTCTTGAAGTACTTGCGCTTCCGGGCCTGGAGGTTGAACCAGGTGTAGGCGAAGGCCCGGACATGAGGGAGGAGGGCCTCAATGAAAGGATGGAATTCATCCTGAAGGTAAGAAATTAAGAAAAAAAAAAGGAAAAAAGAAAAGAAATAGTGGTCAGGCATAAGCTGTGCTTGGGAGCATTGTTCACAGGCATAAGCTGTGCTTGGGAGCATTGTATCTAGCTGACAAAAGGGCGGGTGTTAAGATTGCCAAGTTCATAGAAACCTGCCTGATTTTTATAATCAGACACCTGAGGCCCTACTCTTCATCTTGTCAACTTACAGATAGTCCTCGACTTGTGATTGGTCCCTTAACAACTGTTTAAAGTTCTGACAAACCTACTTATGGGGCAGTGGTAGGATTCGACCGGTTTGGCCTGGTTCAGCCAAACCGGTATTTTTTTTTCCCACTCCCAACGATCAGCTGTGCCAGGATCTCCCTCGCTGTCTTACTGCTTCACTCAGGAGGCTTCCCAGAGACTCAGGAGGCAAAAAATAGAGCACGGAGGAGTGCTGTGCCCCCCCTGCGCTCCGTTTTTTATCTTCCTGGGCCTCAGGGAAGCTTTCTGGGAGCAAAAATGAGCCCCCCAGGAGACAAAAAAAAAACCTGGAGCGTGTGAGGGGATGGTGTGCTGCACCAAAAAAAAAAGCAGCCATGCCCACCCAGTCACATGGCCAGGCCCACCTAGCCACGCCCACAAAACCGGTAGTAAAACTATTTGCATCCCACCTGTTATTGGGTATCTAGGATGTGGATTCTGATGGTCACCCCTCCCTCCATGATCACATGACCGGACATTGGGTGCTCAACCACTTGATCCTGGAGGTAAAGTGGATAAAATGTAATATTGCAGGCTAACTCTGCCCACTGCCAGGAGTTTGATCCTAACTGGTTGACTCAGCCTTCCATCCTTCCGAGGTGGGTAAAATGAGGAGCCAGACTGTTGGGGGCAATAGGCTGACTCTGTAAACTGCTTAGAGAGGGCTGTAAAAGCACTGTGAAGCGCTGTATAAGTCTAAGTGCTAGTGCTATCTCTCCAGAGCACTGAAAGAGATATGCGGCCTCTTTCAGGGTTGAAGCCAGGCCTACCCACCTATTTATAGAAGGCAGTGTCAATGCCCAAGGATGTTTCTCTAGTAGTTTTCACCATCAGGCAGCCTTGAGGTCATTCCTGGGAATACTATCCTCACTTGGTCTTATTAACGCATTTGATTATATTTGATTAAAATCTTTTGAGCATTTTTTTTTAGATGAATGCCTGTGTAATTGAATGACAGTAACCGCAACAGCAGCCACACTAGTCCTTGACTTATGACAATTGGGACCAGAAATTCCATTATCAAGTTGGTTGTTAAGTGAGTCATACTCTTATTTTACCTTTTTTTGGCATGGTTATTAAGTGAATCACTGCAGTTGTTAATTGAACCAAGTGGTCATTAAGCGAATCCAGTACCCCCCGCCATTGACTTTGCTTGTTGGAAATCAACTGCAAAAGTCACAAATAATGATCACATGGCCCTAGGACATTGCAACCATCATAAATACATGCCGGTTGCTCCTAAATTTTGATCATATGACCACGGGTAGGATATGATAGTCCTAAGTATGAGGACCAGTAATAAATCACTTTTTAAACTTTGTACTGTCACTAAATGAATGGTTATAAGTCTAGCGTACAGGTATACTGTACAATAGTAAGTATTTTTCAATATTTTTCTTATCATAAAAGCCACCCGATGTTCCATACTATCTTTCTTTCATTCACGGAATTCAGTACATTAAAACTCTGTGTTTCATACAAGCACAGAGGACAAATTGCTGTATTTTCTTTTAAGGAAAATCTGCCTCAGGAGGCTCCACAGTTGAACAGATACTGCCTGTCAGCCATTTCTCCAGCTTGAGCAGAGATACTGTCTGTCACCCATGATGCCCTGAGGAGTCGATGGGTCATGGAATCCGTTTGCAGGAACAAAGATAGCAGTGCTTGGACACCAGGTTATCTATGTCCTAAGAGGAAACACAATGCACCAGATTCAGGGCTACCTGCAAAAATTCAACCTAACTATATAAGTAGGTCTAGACAGGGGTGTCCCACCTTGGCAGCTTTCAGACCTGTGGGCTTCAACTCTCAGAATTCCCAGCTGACTGGAGAATTCTGGGAGTTGAGGTCCTCAGGTCCTAAAATTGCCAAGGTGGGACACCCTGGTCTAGAACAGGGGTCTCCAACCTTGGCAATTTTAAGACTTGTGGACTTCAACTCCCATAATTTCTCAACCAGCTTGCTGGGGAATTCTGGGAGCTGAAGTCCACAAGTCTTAAAAGTTGCCAAGGTTGGAGATCCTTGGTCTAAAAGAAAGGGAATGCCCCTGTAAGCATCTGCTCCGATCTCCACAAGATTGAAACCCAGGAAGAGGTGGATTCTCCAGCTTTTGGCTTCAGCCAAGCTTCTTGGCAGTTGTCCCACGTGCTTTGCTTCAACTGAAGAAACAGAGATTTCCCCAGTGAGCCTTCCAACCCCAGCGAGAGAGGACAGTTAAAGAGTTTCCTTTCAGGAAAAGGGAAAGGAAACGAAATGGGCTGCAACAAATTGAGCTGGAAGGTCTGAGTAAGAAGCAGCTGAAAAGACAAACAACAGATACTCTCTTATCCAGAAAACTGATTTCAGGCAAAAGCGATGAGAGGAAAGGGAACCACCTCATGCTGGGCACAGGGACACACGCACATGCACACACACACACAAACACACACAGGCAGCCTCATGGGATCAGCATGAAATTCCACATTGGAGAAGGCTGCTAGATTGATGCCCTGTGCTTTCTGCTCTCCACCCCTTTAGGTTATCATATTGATGTACTTATTTTCATTGTGTTCCTTTGACATTATTTATTTATAAAAGTTATTTGCACCCCATTTCTATCACAGAAAGGTCCTTGCTGGATGGAGTGAAGAATTCATGGGAGATTGGATAGACAAGTTATACAGGTTACAAAGACAACTCAATTTCAAAGATGTTACACACATAAAAAAAAATCAAACCTTTGATCTACATAGCCCAGGGCTGTTTACAGGTAGTCCTTGACTAGCAATAGCAATAGCCCTTAAACTTATATACCGCTTCATGGTGCTTTCCAGCCCTCTCTAAGCGGTTTACAGAGTCAGCCTCTTGCCCCCAACAATCTGGGTCCTCATTTTACCCACCTCGGAAGGATAGAAGGCTGAGTCAACCTTGAGCCTGGTGAGATTTGAACTGCCAAATTGCAGGCAGATGGCAGTCAGCAGAAGTAGCCTGCAGTACTGCACTATGCAATCAAGGCTCTTAACATCCATTTATTTAGTAACTGTTCAAAGTTGCAGTGGCACTAACAAAAGCGACCTATGACCTTTTCCCATACTTATGACTGTTGCCGCATCCCCATGGTCACGTGATCAAAATTCAACCAGCATGTATTTATGACAGTTGCAGTGTTCCAGGGTGATCACCTTTTGTGACCTTCTGACAAGCAAAATCAATGGGGAAGTCAGAATCATTTAACAACCGTGTTACTAACTTAACAACTGCAGGGATTCATTTAACAATGGGGAGAGGAGAAGTTGTAACAACCGTCTTGCTTAGCAATAGAAATTTCGGGTGCAATTGTGGTTTTAAGTCAGAGATCTCCAAACCTGGCAACTTTAAGACTTGTGGACTTCCAACTCCCAGAATTCTTCAGCCAGCATGGCTGAGGAATTCTGGGAGTTGAAGTCCACAAGTCTTAAAGTTGCTAAGTTTGGGGACCCCTATTTTAAGTTGAGGCATCCCTGCACCTGGGTTGACCTCCCTGCACCTGGTTTCAATCTGGAGCCCTTTCCCAGCTGAACCAAGAGCTATCAACAATTAAATCTGGGACCAGTGTGTAAGGCAAAGCAAGGCCCCCGCAAAACTCTGTTGCCCTGTCTTCAGAATTTTACCTGGCTCAGATACAACCATGTCATACACTTAAAAGTGTATTCACAAGATTAAAAGGGCAGGCTATGGAGCTCTCTTGTGTTCCTGCACCACACCCTGCCCTGCCCTCCCTATAGCGAAGGATAGACTTCTACAGCAGGAAGCCTATTGCCCTATGTTGCTCCCAGTATGATTTTCAACTAGGTCATTCTGTTTAAATTATGGTGAGAGATCATGTGATTACAGTGGGTTTAGTCTGAAAGATATTAATTTCCAACGCATACAAGATGGTATGATAATGGTAGGAAATTGTGCCATATTACACTAATAACTAGAGCATACAAAACATTTGCTAGACCAATACTCGAATACAGCTCATCAGTCTGGAACCCACATTATGTATCTGATATTAACACAGTTGAGAAAGTCCAGAAATATTTTACAAGAAGAGTTCTCCACTCCTCTACTCGTTGCAGAATACCTCATGCCACCAGATTCAGAATTCTAGATCTAGAAAACCTACAACTACGCTGCCTTCGGTCTGATCTAAGTATAGTATATAAAATCATACATTGCAATGTCCTACCTGTCAATGAATACTTCAGCTTCAACCATAACAACACAAGAGCAAACAATAGATACAAACTCAAGGTTAACCGCACCAAACTCGATTGCAGAAAGTAAGACTTCAGCAACAGAGAGGTCAATGTCTGAAATACTCTACCTGACTCCGTGGTTTCTTCCCCAAACCCCAAAAACTTTAACCTTAGACTTTCTACTATTGACCTCACCACTTTCCTAAGAGGTCTGTACGGGGTGTGCATAAGCGCACCAATGTGCCTACCGTCCCTATCCTATTGTTTCTTTTATTTTTTATTTTTTTTCTTATATGTATCCATGTATTCATAACTATGTTTTTACTTATACCTATTATCTTGTAAGCAATTGACATAAATAAATAAATAAATAAATAAATAAATAAATAAATAAATAAATAAATAGATAAAACATTACTACAGTCTCATTGTAATTATCTGTGATTATCTGATTGGTTAGCCCAAACAGTGCATTATTTTTTGCAGTAATTTTTGAATCAAAGTACCTAAAATCAGCTAATTTAAAAAATGTGTAAAACAA